TTGGGTGACTGCAGTTTTTGGACGACCTTGACGGGGATCATCACTGAGCTTGACACGTCCACGTTGAAACTCAGCAAACCAGCGATAAATTGTGGTTTTGGATGGGGCTTCATCACCAAATGCAGAAATCATCCGGTCAACACACTGTTTTCGTGTTAAACCACTTCGAAAGTCATAATAAATCATCGCTCTTGAATTTTCTCGAGTCAATTCCATTTTCTCAACGACTAAACAAGTTTGACAAAACCTCGTGACAAGACCGAGAATCTTTTTTTAAATAAATAAATGGTATTCGATTTTTAAAACCAAGGAGTTTTCAATTAAAAAGATTTTAATATGACAGGAACAGTAGAAATATTCCATTCCCGATACTTTTAGTGCAGCCTATGTACAGGTATATTACACAAATGAATTACAAGTAATCCCAGGCTTCTTCTTTTATATCCATCATCATGTTGACAATGATTGTGCCAGCATCAAGGTATCAAAGAAAAAACAGAATCTTTTACTTTTATTTTCAGCCTATATACATATTTATAAAATTGTAAACAATAATGTGCTATTTACTGCTACCAGGTTAAGTTATTAATCATAATTTTTTTTGCATATATTTTACCGCCTCCAACTCTGGTGATTGTAGACGACCAGACAAGTGAAACAACAGTACAAAATAAGAATAAAGATATTGTGACAAAGGTAATAATTATTGATATCTACATAAACTGTCTTAATAAAATGTAGTCTACTTTTAAAATATTTGTTAAAAATCATTATGAACATCAATATTATTTAAACTATTTATTAATTTTAACATTTTTTTATTAGGATTGGGGAAATAACACACCGCAATTGTTGAGGACTCCGGTGTCACAGGCACTCAAAATTGATGGTGCAGTGGAAAAAAATACTCCTGTGACTGACCATATAGAGAACATCATTGAGAAGCAGAAACCAAATCGCGGGACCTGGATTTCGAGGAGGAGGCCAATCCATACAAATATGTCTTCTTTACAACGGTTACATAAAAAAAAGATAGAAGCCATAGAGCTACAAAAAAAACTTGCGATGGAGGAAATGGAGAGAACAAAGATTTTACATGACCTTGATATTCAAATTAAAAAACAAATATTAAGACAAGAAAAAATAAAAACAAATTTGTTACTGATCAAGCGAAGAAGATTATTAGCTTGCAGAAAAACTACAAAATAACTTCTCAAAATAAATAATTTAAATTATTTACAATTTTTATTTCTGTAAGCAAAAGTAGATTCTGTAAGTAAAAGTAAGTGAATATCACTTGTGACAAAGTTACCTTCTTTTTCTTGAAGTTCAAGCAGGTTCATAAGTGCAGTTCTACCTTAGAAAGACAGGCAGTTACTTTCGCATTTATGATAGACGTGTGATTATGTAGCAGTGTAGAGTAGAAATATGATGTGAGTGATGTGTCGTTTAAAGAATCTTTCATCTACAATAACTATCATAAAAGACTATAATATGTACCAACAAAACTTATTTATTCAACAAACTTTGATAATAATTGGCAATAAGAGCATCACGAGTTCTATGAAGTCGGCCAGGTATTCGCTCACTTTCAGTGCTTTGACTTTGAGGTATTTGACCATCACTTAAAATTTGCTCCCATGGAGCCGGTAAATGCAGTTCTGGGTCATCTGGAGGTAATGTTTCTTCTCTACGGCGTAAAATATTGTGTAAAACTGCTGTGGCCACTATAATTATCAATGCTTTTTCTGATTTGACACGTATCCCAAGTGCCAGCACAGGAAATCGTCTTTTCCATACACCGTAACTCCTTTCAATGGGATTTCTGGTTCTTATTTGTGACTCATTATAGAGTTGGTCTGCCTGTGTTCTCGGGCTTTCTAATGGAGGCATCATGTAACACGTTGAGGCATATCCACCATCAACTACTAATAGTGCATCACCGTAACATCCATCTTCAAACCTTACCATAATTATGCTATTGTTGAATATTGTGCTGTCATGACATGACCCTGGCCATCTTGCCACGATGTCAGTGATTTCTAGGTTGGAGTTGCATATGGTCTGCACATTTATAGAAAAATAACCCTTTCTGTTTCGGTATAATTCTGCTTGTTCACCTCCTACTTGAGATCGGAGAGGGACAAAAGATAACTTAATGTGCGTGCAGTCCATAGCACCAATTACCCTTGGAAATCGAGCAATTTGATAAAAATTGTCTTGTTCTGTCCTTATTTCTAGTTGAGTACTGGGGAACTTTATGTATTCACGATGTAGTGCAGCAATAGCGGCACTGACTCTGTGTATTATTTTATTTGTAGTAGGAGTGCTCCAACCACAGGTGTCGCCAATAGTCATTTGAGTCGAATTGGTTGCATAAAATCGTGTAGAGTTCCCAGCAACTGATTTATAGGTAAAATGGAGAAGTTGCTGAAATAGAACAAAATTATTTACTACTAGCTACTAGAAAATGTACTTAGGTAGCTACATGTTATTATAAGAATAATAATGTTAAATAATCTATCCTATCATTATTTTAACATTTACCTAGTCATATACTGGACAGACAGGTAATAGCCTATCTATGTAGGCAGGTAAATACAGTAACATCGGCACTACCTACGGTCAGAGTGCACTTAAAAGGGTGCAAAAAAAACTACGCAGGTATAAAGAATGTACACTTACCGGTCGGAAATATATTCCAAGTTACGTTCAATTTTCGATAGCAGAAACAAAGTGGCTTCTTTGCTCAAACGAAACCTCATCATCAAAAATCATGGTCATCATAATATTCAAATAAGTCTTTTTTTTCTTTTAACCATCATGGACGTCTAATAATTTCCTCATCACTATCACTATCATCAATCAAATTGTTTAAACGTTGCATATAATTTAGTGCCTTGTGTTGACTTGAAATTAAAACACAAAAAAAAAATTTATGAAATGACAGAAATCAGATGATTGGACTAACTGACGCCATTACTTTATTCTAGGAATAGCTCCGTTATTCCGTGCGAAACGGCGGTATAGTAACAATTCCCGAATAGGCCCACTATTCTTAGAATTGTAGATGGTAAAACGTAAAATTGATTTACTCTCGATCAACTGACGAGTTATTCTAATAAGATTTACTCTTGTTTGGTCGAATCGACCCTTATAGAGAATATAAAGAAGTACCTAGTGCAGATTGATATTTTTTATTATTATGAATAAACAATAAAAATAAACTAAATCAATAAAAAAATCTTACACAATTACCATGTATTTGACACACACACACACACACATGCATTTATACTTTTTTTGTTTATTGATTTATCAATCTGTGGTCAAATTGAGAATTTATTAATATTTTTTGTTTTTAATATTATTTGTCTATTTGTCTATAGTCTTGTCTATAGTGGCGACATCTGTAATTATAAAGCAATGATTATTATAGAAATGATGATAATAGAAAGGTGACAATAGAACTATAATAATGTTCAAACTTAAAATTTAAATAAACTGTGGTCGAAATTCGACCATTGGACTACCATTAGTAGATAATAATAAAATCATTTATTGCCTTTCACACAGATTTAGATTATTACAGGCAGCCTACAAGGAAACAACAAAAACACAAAGCACTATTATATCATTTCTGGCAAGCAGTTCAACATTTGCACTTGTATATTACTAATAGGAATTTTATTAAGAATATTGACAATTTATGAGGATTTTGACAAGTACGGATTAATATAGTTATGTAAATTAAATTAGTTTTATAAGTGCAATAAAAAATAATTTAAATGATAAAATGATAAAGCCATACCTTTTTCTAATATGACGATTAGAGGGTATCCTATTATTCTTTTCTATATTATTTTATCAGCTTATAAAATTAAACAGTCTCTTTTACAAGGACAAAGTACTCTTTCTGTCTTTTTCAAATAAAATGCATGCCTTAAAGTGTTTAAAGCGAAAAACTAAAAAAATACACTTATTGTATTACAATATTGAAGTTTACCAGAAAATAAGAATTTTGGGTTGAGCCACTTTAATTCTAAAGGTACAAAATAGTATTGAACACGTGACATTACCCGAATAATTTTGAAAGTAGTATGTTCCCATTAAAATACTGTTAAAATGCGTTGTATTTCATTTAGACGGTCTAATGCCAAAACACCACGTGCTACCAATATACGAGAAATCATATTATTGCTGCTCTCGGTGAATAAACGACACTCACTCAATTCTTCATTTTTCACCGTATAGAACGTAAACTCGATTTGATTTTGATTTATTCATTTACAATTGAACAACTATTTGTTTTATTTTGTCTATTTAATGTTTCTTAGTTAATGCGTAGTTAATATTTCTTCGGGTATAAGTGTAATTTTGAGATCATCCTGGCCTAAAATTTAAGGCGTCCGGTGTATTCGTATCTTGCGATGCACCGGCGTCTTAATCCCGCCGGCGGGTATTAATTTTTCTAATGAAATACGTACCTACTTATCTAATGTTTATGATTGAATTTCACTGTAAAGGAATAGCATCGTGTAATAAAAATCAAACCCGCAAAATTAATTTGCGTAATTACTGGTGGTAGGACGTCTTGTGAGTCGACACGGGTAGGTATCACCACCCTGCCTATTTTTGCCGTGAAGCAGTAATGCGTTTCGGTNGTGGGCTGAAAGATTCATCTATCATCATAAGCATTAAAGAACTTGATTTGAACCGTGAAAGTTCTTTCCCTATTTCTCCTTATACTTTATAGATGGGTAAACCAGCCCTCCGAGCCCCTCCCTAAAGGCTTCGCGGCAGAAATAAGCAGGGTAGTGATACATAGGTACCCGTGCGGACTTATACCACAGAAGTTATTGACTTAATTTTTTGTTTTAGTTTTGATTTAATAAACGATCTTATGCGAATAATGTCATTTCCTTCATCGTCGATGTCTTTCGTAAATATCTCCTTGTCTTATCACTCTGGTCAGAGCAGTCGTGGTCGTCATGCAATATCATTGCTGTGGGCAGATGTTATGCGCCTCACGAGCAATCGCCACTTCCACCTTCGAAATACGTGATAGATATTTCCTTAGGAAGAATGACGTCTGTCTGAAGTATTTGAACCTCGACAAAGCTTAATTATTCAATACTTTAGTAGACGGGCTTAAGGGCTACAAAACTTCATATTTTTAAATTTCGTAAAACAAACAGACCTTTACATTACATACCCTGTCCCTAAGCTGCCTCACTGTGCCATAAGATATCCAATCAATAAACTTATGTTGCAAGCCAGATTTTGTTTCTTTTTGAAGTGAAACTTCCTTATCGGCGTTGGAAAAAAATTTACCGTCACATTTTTCGGTTACGCGTCACTTTTTTCCGTTACGCGCCATCTGTTTTGTATTCATGTCTATGATAATAAAATCCTTTTGTTTAAACTTTATCTAATTTAACTTTTTTGTATTCATGTCTATGATAATAAAATCCTTTTGTTTAAACTTTATCTAATTTAACTTT